CCAACTCTCTTTATTATAATAAAGAGAGTTAAACTCATTTAAAAGTCCAATGTGGGTTTAACTCTTGACCCTTCAAATCCCACAACCAACGTTTTACGTGCTCTTTTATGGCTAACTTTAACAATTTATTTCTCACTCACCGAAAATCAGTTTTGAGAAAATAAATATACCACGAGTATCTACTCGGAACGTAGAATTTTTCTACAATATTTAATTCAACTAAAATTAAATATTTAGCCATCAACAATTCAGTCAAAATCGGGTCAAACCCATATTTTATAACTGATTTTTCCAACACTATAAAAAATTATATAGAAATTCTCTTATCGATCTGAGTTGTTAACCAAACGAGCTTTAAATGAGCTCGAGCCATAATGATACGAGTCGAGCCATGCTCGTTTAATTTAACAGCACTAGCTGGAGATGAGAACGCCACAAAATATTAAAAAAGTGCAAATCTTGACGAGTCGAATTGCGGGATTGAGTCGATATATTTCAAAAGCGGCTGAAAGGAGTAGCCCGCTGTTCAAAACCTTGAAGAATAGTTCTCAATTCAAATAGACGGAGGACGGGAGGAGGCCAAAAAGCGTTCTAGGAGTTACAGGATGTTTTGTCCGACATGCCATTATTAGCCAAAATAATCCAAGGCGACGGACTGAGTAAATGAGTATATTTTCAATTTTACAAAAATACATTTCCAAATCTCAACACGTCATATATTATAGTCCCATAATTTTTCAAATAATGTACAAATACATGGATATTTACTAACTGATTTATTTTGCCTCCAGTTGAATTAAATCTTAAAAACATTTTTGGATCTAAAATTTAAAATGATATTTGACTTATTTGCACCAACAAAAAAAAAAAAAAAAAAAAAGAAAGAAAGAAAGGAAAAAATGTCCTGATCACTTTTACAGTTATACTTGGTCCCAGGTCTTCCAAACAAGTTAGAAATATTGGAAGTATTGTCTCCCATTGACCGAAAATATTGATAAGTTATTAAAATTATTGCACGCGAATGGTTGACTTTTATATATTTTTTGGTTGAAAGTTTGAGAAGCTTTGCTCCCTTTATTTATTTGAATTGAATGATTGTCCTGATATATTGATAAGTTGAAAGGATTATTGGACGCATGATTTATCAAGTCATCGTTCTACCTTTGCCTACTGTTGACTTATCCATTATCTGTGAGGTTGTACACAACCAAAATCTGGAGTACTGGGAGCTTGGTTAGAGCATAATATAATTGGGTGTCGTACCGTCGTCGAGTCCTAACATAAGCTTTTGGTTTCTTTGTTGTACAAAAAAAAGGCTCGTTTTCAAGTCATCTTCCCATTCTTAATTAATAATATTTTCTTTTAAGTATTTAGTTAGGTGCACTTTATCGTTTTCGACTTTATGTAGTAAATAGTAATTAATATGATTGGTCGGAAAAAATGTGTGTTTTATATATTTATTAGCGTATTTTCATATGCT